ATGCTTAGACCCTCACCATGAAACCTACTCTAGATATTCCCGGATGACCCTCTAGTCCTCATTCTCCCAAATGCACCTTTCACTGGCAAGGCATGGGAAGACCCATCATCTGGTTCTCCAAGGTGTCCAGCAGTTAGTTTGGCGTAAGGTAGGGAGGAGGATGTTGGCGTGAGCTCTCCCCTTGACAATGAAGCTGTGCAAAGAGCAGATGTCATCTTAACTGTTCTGAAGTTGAACGATGTAACTACTTCCAGGTTAACAGAGAGTCAAGACTTAAGTGCTTATGAAAACCAAAAATGTAGAGGGGGGTGGAATTCCAGTCGTTTTCCTCCAGCATCCAAACATCTCCAAATATGTTGGCTTCTAAGAAGCGATTTCCCAAGGCTGAATATACCTCTTGATCAGGGTAAGTGATGAAAACATGTACTTAACAGAGGAGGGGATGGCGGAATAGCTTGTATTACCCATGCTGTGGCTTTTCTCCTCCTTCCCCCACTGTACTAATGGCTCAGCCTTTAAACTTTTCAGAATCAAAAAAGTGATCGGGATGCCAGTTTCTAGGATTGAAGGAGACCTGGGAGGGCTAGACATCTCAAGAGACAGGTTTGCTGTTCTCACCTTAAGAAGGCTTCCTTGCAAAACTGTTCCTGGCTTGTTCGTCAGTGGGGGTAGAGACACAATTGGGTGTCACAGCCCAGATGGATTCCTTTGAGTTCTGGACGAGGCTGAACCAGCTGGGATCTTCCTTGGAGTAGGATTGAGGGATCTCTTTTCAAAGGCAGGGAGCCATGCATGGGGCGGGGGAGTAGGGTGGTGTCTATTAGCTAAAGATCTGCTTGGCAGGAGCAAACCAGTTTCATTATTTAAATTACTACTGAGAAAGTCCCTGACACCTCCAACTCCAAATGATGAAAGATAGAACCTGATTACTGATAAGCTGAGACTGGAACAGGACCAAACGTAGCAGGGATATGGGCATGAATGATGGAGATATGGAAACATGAGCCTGATTTTATCCTTATTTTTATATCTTCGAATGCTAAGGCTTTTAGAGAAGTCATTTACACTTTCTGGTCTCCATCCCCTCAGCTCTAAAATGGAAACAATAATGACTAACGTGAGAGTGATTCACGGAGTGGCTACCTGTCCCGTTTTATAATGGCACCTACCCAGTTGCCTTAAGGGTTAAATGGGGTCACTTACGTTAAAAAGCCCAGCACGGTGTCTGGTGTATTGGTAGTTGGTTCTCAAAACTACTAGTTTCTTCTCTATCAGCCCCTTTCCTTAGTTCAAGGGAGTTCTGCTGTTCCCTAATGAAGACATTTTTAGGCAAAAAGAAAGCCATTTCCTGGATTTCCTTCCTGATAGATTCCCCTGGATAAATTCTCTGAGAACTGGCTTTATTTCCTCTTGCAAGTCCCATACTTCAGCTGCTGACATTTTTCTTGGTGTTTGAGGAGGAGACCATAGACACAGGCAGGATGTTTCTTGGCTTCACCAACCCCCGAAGAGAAGAGACTGGCTCTTTTGAAGGACAACATGACAAGCAGCCTGCTCCCACAGGCCCTATAAAGGGATCCTAGGGAAAGAAGTCCTTTTCGTGTTTGAGATGCCCAGGGATTAGCTGGCACTGTGGAAAGGTGGTTTTCATCTTGGACAGAGTCCACATCAGTCTATTAATTCCCTGAGTCTTTAGCTTGACTGCTCAGACAGGAATCGGGCACCACAGCCCTTAACAAAGGACGGCGGGACAGCTTGGGAAGCCAAGGTCACAGCTCCAGCTCGGACGTGCACCAAGGGCCTGGCTGAGAAGTAGGGAAAATGGAGATGCTGGCTATGGAGGAGTAGCTTTTCTGCAAATGTTTCTGCTGAGCTGCCTAGCCTTGCTTACTGGATCTAAGCCGTCCTCTTGATTACTGTAGCAAGACAGGAACAAGGCAGACAGGCGCCCTCTTCTGGGAGGGAAGAGCAGAGACATTGAGTCCACCAAGCTGAGATTAGTATAGTGTTGGCGTCTGCTGTCATCGTTAAGATATGCGTAGCCTGAGCTCATTTCTACCCTTTTTAGCTCCATCTTATTCAAGGTTTGCTTGAAGTTGTCCAGGATCATGAATGAGCCTGCCGTGGTCTCAACATCAGATACAATAGCACCTGACCACCTTATAGGCAGCGTAGTATAAAAAGCATTATTATATATAAATAGTATAAAAAGCAGCATTACCTCGAAATCGCCTCTCCTCTATATAGTTTACGCACTCCACATAGAAACTACGTCGTTTCTGTGAATTTGCCCAGCTGCATGAATTTATGCGTATACACACCTAGTCGCACACCTGAAAACACACCTACTCTTTAAAAACATGCTCAGCCTGACATTTTCATCAACCCAAGACTTCACTAAAATGCTGCCTGCCGGCATTTCCTGTGCCCCGTGCCAGCTGATAACCCCACGATAAGCTATGTTCTGCACCTCCCACTCATTGATATTTCTCCTGCCTGCGGGCCGCCCTCTGCAGCAGCTTTCTCACATGCATACATACATGCATTCACAGAGCTAAAAATAAAAGCTGCTGCTGGGCTGCCAGAGGGTGTCCTCCATCCTGAGCAGACGTCCTCCGTCTCCCTTTAGCAGGCACGGTTTAAACCACAGACCGACACTGGGGGACCGGACAGGCTTAAGCTGGCGTCGAAATCTCCGAGGCGAGTTACAAAGGGCCTGAAAGGGGATATGACAGACGGAGCCTCAGGACCCTCTCCAAGGCCTTGTGCCCCAGATCCTGGTGGTAACCTCTGGATAACTGTTTATTGGCATCCAGGAAAACCGCTGTCGGGGGAAGCGTTAATTAGGGTTGAGAAAGGAGACAGATCACGCACAGGGCCGCATCAGTAAACAGCTCCCTGCTTTCCACCGCCTCTCAAGGGCGGAGGTCGTGCCAGGTGGATCTGGGGTGCTGTGTGCCTTTGGGGAAGGAAGCTGATTCCTGTGGGTGTGATGTTGTTGAGGTCTTCCGATCTGCAAGAATCCTTCCCACCTCCACCACTCGATAAACCCCTTTGTCATGCCGAGGTGTGGCATTTCTGCTGAACACCTCTGATTCAGACACACACACCACACACCCTGAGACGTACACACGAGAGAGACTTTTGTCACCTTCATGAAACAGGTGACAATTTGGCTTAAAAATAGCACTCATCCATTGATCTCACTTTTCAGGGACGGTATTTTAAGAAGAAGAAAGATTTAGTGGTCTTTGAGAGGCAGCAAGGGTACACCGTCACCTTGCCTTACAAGGCCTGATAATGTCGCTGGAGATGGCATTTGCAGTCTTTGTTGAATTTTCTCCTCCTCCGATCATGGAAATAAAGTTGTTTATTTGATAATACCCTGCCACTTGGGTATTTATAGAGGTGGGTTTCCTCCTCGCCTGTGAGGAGGGAGAAACTGCCACAGCAAGCCCAAGCCGTGACCCTCCCCCCTAAGGACTCCTGGGAGCTGTCGGATTTGGGAGCCCTGTCCCCACACAAGGGAGCCCCCAAACGGCTGCTGGCCACTTGCACGTGTGTGTTAATTGCAGGTTGTTTGTTCCTACCCTGGGAGTCTGTCCGTCTGTCTGTAACTCGGATGATTGCTCTCTCCGAAGCTGTAGCTGGCTGATTCCGTGGGAGACCAAGCAGGATGCGTGGGCGCAGGAAACAAGAGAAAAGGAGGAGGGAGAAAGAGGGAGCAGGAGAGCGAGAGCGGGAGCCTAGAATCTGTTATGTGCGTCACTTGAGAAGCCGGGGCTATCTGCCCGACAGACGCAGAATTAATCCGAGTTACAGCCATAGCTGTCTCTGCTACAGTAGCCAGATGCGAAAGGGCGGGGAAAGGACGCGCGCCCGAGTTCGCCTCCGGCGGCCGGTGGCGTTTAGGGAAGGGGCTGTCCCGCGGGGCACGCCCTTCGGGCCCGGCACGCCCAGAGCTAACTGTGCAGTCCG